GGTATAGAGTGTATGGAAGGTGTGAGTGGAGTATGGTGTCCAGTTTGTGTGTTTACGTAGAATGAGTGGGTGTGCGGTTGTTCCTGCGGTGGCACCTCTGGGGGCTCCGCACATCTGTCCTAGTTCCTCTCTAGCTGCGTTTCCATTGACCATGAAAATGAGCATATTAGAATTTCAAAAATAAATTTGCTCAATGGAAACACGTCAATTTAAAAAAATACGTTTTTCGACAAAATATTTTTGCACTAGGATGAGGTGGTATTTTGGCCGTATCGAAATTGGTGTTTTTCACAAAACTGCAATGGAAACACTTTTTTCGCATCACGGGAGTCACGAGATCAACAACCGGCTGTTTCTACTGGTGAAAAAGACGATGATGAAGAAGATACCAGGAAGTAGAAGTAGTAGTAATATCACAGAAGTAGTATAAAATAGTAAACTCACCGACTACAATTTCCCAAAAACACAGCATACGTAGCCGCTCCCAAGTAGGGACTTGTCTCTGGAAAGCCTCGATAAAAGACGCCGACGTCTCCTCTGATGATGAGTGCCAGTGTCGTGGTAGCAACATGCTATGTGTTTACATCCATCGCCTCCATGTTTGTAATGACTTATCATGAGAACAAACGTATTCACTTTAATAGCATTTCTTATTTAATGGAAACATCGCAGTTGCGAAACTGTGTTTTTTCGACATTAACGGAATATCGACAAAGTTTTGTGCACAATTGCAATGGAAACGCAGCTTCAGTGCCTTTGACTCAGGTTTTCTTCATTTCTGCCTCAGGCCTTAGAGGGCCCGTATTTATCAAACTTCTTAGAGTGGATTTTTAGACTTAAGTGCTGAAAATATCTTAGATTTGCTCCTACTCTCAGACTTAAGTGTAAGTTTCAGTTATCAAAATTCTTAAGTCTTAAGAATCACTCTTACTCTCCTGAAAAGTTCAGACTGCTCCAGAGGACTCTTAAGTGGTTCAGAGTTGCCACTAGAGGTCTGAGATGAACTGAGGAGACAGAGATTACAGCTGTCCTCCTCCCCACCTACTGTTATTCTCAGTTATAAGATGTGGAAAACAGGTTTCATCAGAAATATACAAAAGAAACAAAGGTAAAAAATAAATAAATTGCACATAAAGTTGGACTAAAAGGCAGATATCTGTGTGTGGCTTTTGGAGAAAATATTAAATATACTCAGCTGGTGAGTGCATGCAACCCC